TTGTGGCTGTGGTGGTGGTTGTGATGGTGGTTGTGGTGGTGGTGGAGGTTGTGGCTGTGGGTGGTGGTTGTGGCTGTGGTGGTGGTTGTGGCTGTGGTGGTGGTTGTGGCTGTGGTGGTGGTTGGTGGTGTGTGGTGGTGTGGTGGAGGTTGTGGCTGTGGTGGTGGTGGTGTGGTGGTGTGGTGGTTATGGCTGTGGTGGTGGTTGTGGCTGTGGTGGTGGTTGTGGCTGTGGTGGTGGTTATGACTGTGGTGGTGGTTGTGGCTGTGGGTGGTGGTTGTGATGGTGGTTGTGGTGGTGGTGGAGGTTGTGGCTGTGGTGGTGGTTGTGGCTGTGGTGGTGGTTGTGGCTGTGGTGGTGGTTGTGGCTGTGGTGGTGGTGGTTGTGGCTGTGGTGGTGGTTGTGTGCTGTGGGTGGTTGTAGTGGTTGTAGTGGTGGTGGTGGTTGTGGGCTGTGGTGGTTGTGGTGGTGTTTGTGGCTGTGGTGGTTGTGGTGGTTGTAGTTGTTGAAGTGGTGGTTGGTGGTTGTGGCTGTGGTGGTTGTAGTGGTTGAAGTGGTGGTTGTGGCTGTGGTGGTTGTGGTGGTTGTAGTTGTTGAAGTGGTGGTGGTGGTTGTGGCTGTGGTGGTTGTGGTGGTTGAAGTGGTGGTGGTGGTTGTGGCTGTGGTGGTTGTGGCTGTGGTTGGTGGTTGTGGCTGTGGTGGTGGTGTGTGGTGTAGTGGTGGTGGTGGTGATGGGTGTGGTAATGGTGGTTGGCTATGGTGGTGGTTGTGATGGTGGTTATGGTGGTAGTTGTGGTGATGGGTGTGTTGTGTCTGTGGTGGTGTTTGTGGGTGTGGAGGTTGTGGTGGTGGTGGTGGTGGTTGTGGCTGTGGTGGTGCCCAGTTGGGCTGTGATGATGTAATGGCATTAATCATATTGTAGGGCTCCATACTTTTTTAAGTTCAGTTTTGTGTATCACGCGGTGCGGATTCCAGGCCGGTGCAGCGTATTTTAGCACTGACTTGACATAGGCTGTATACAGTAGATTCTTTTTAAAATCTACACCTACGCTTTATCATGCCATTGTAATGTTGGTCATGAGCCCATGCTGCGTCCATGTTACCCAGATGTTATATATATAGTGATGAAAATATATCACCTCGACCTTTTTCTCTGTTACGGTTCTTATACTTCTCTCTGGTCTCTTCCTTCCCTTCAACACACCTGTATTGCCTTACACTTATTGGCCTGAACTTTTAGCAGCCATTTACCTGCCCACTTCTAGAGTTTGTCAAAGTCTTCCTGTAATTCTTTGCAGTTTCTTTTGATTTTTTACCTTTCTCATCAGCTTTGTATAGTGTACAGACAGTGGTAGGTACGAGCCACTCTCCATTATTTACATAAATTAGGAAGAGCAGTGGTCCTAGGACCTATCCTTGGGGGGACCCCACTGACCACGTCTCTAGTCTTCCTCCGTGATGTCCCTTACCCTTATCTCAGTACGTGTCACCATCTTGGACACTCCAGCTTGTCACGGGAACACAACAGTGTAGAATGATAGTCTTTTTCTTCAGTCGTATTTTTTCTTGACCTTGTCACCGAACTCAACCAAGTTTGTCAGGCACAACTTTTCACTCTAAATGTAAGCTGTGGGGGCGTGACATCTGAGTGGACAGCGCTTGGGATTCGTAGTCCTGAGGTTCCGGGTTCGATCCCCGGTGGAGGCGGAAACAAATGGGCAGAGTTTTTTCACCCTGATGTCCCTGTTCACCCAGCAGTAAATGGGTACCTGGGAGTTAGACACCTGCTACGGGCTACTTCCTGCGAGGGGAGGGAGTTTGTAAGAAAAAGGAGCCTTGGTCGATGACCGGGCCGCGGGGACGCTAAGCCCCGAAATCATTTCAAGATAACCTGAAGATAACTGCCTCACCATTACAAGCTTACCTTCTGCAGGTGCTCAGTTATGCTCATCCTTTTTACTTTCTCTTATACTTTATGCTGAACACTTTCCAGTCACTGCTCTATCGAATCACCTTCTGTGGTTGAGTGTTCAATAAACCCCTGAACTATATGTTGAACACTTCTCTAACCCTGTCCATGGAGGACAGAAGACAATGTATATATGCTGGTTAGCATTGTAAATGTGTGGCCACGTCTGTGGTAGAAAAAACAACAACTGCTCTATAGTTATTGCCTCTTGTGTCCCCCCCCCCTTCTTGAAATGTTTAGAAAAAGTTTGTCTTTTTTTCACTTTCTTGAAAATCTTCCGTTTCAAATTTTTTGTTAACATTAGTTGGCGGATGAGAAGGTCGGTGCTGAGTCTTGGGTGTCTGGTGCTGAGTCTTGGGTGTCTGGTGGTGAGTCTTGGGTGTCTGGTGCTGAGTCTTGGGTGTCTGGTGGTGAGTCTTGGGTGTCTGGTGGTGAGTCTTGGGTGTCTGGTGGTGAGTCTTGGGTGTCTGGTGCTGAGTCTTGGGTGTCTGGTGCTGAGTCTTGGGTGTCTGGTGGTGAGGTCTTGGGTGTCTGGTGCTGAGTCTTGGGTGTCTGGTGGTGAGTCTTGGGTGTCTGGTGGTGAGTCTTGGGTGTCTGGTGGTGAGTCTTGGGTGTCTGGTGCTGAGTCTTGGGTGTCTGGTGGTGAGTCTTGGGTGTCTGGTGGTGAGTCTTGGGTGTCTGGTGCTGAGTCTTGGGTGTCTGGTGGTGAGTCTTGGGTGTCTGGTGCTGAGTCTTGGGTGTCTGGTGGTGAGTCTTGGGTGTCTGGTGTTGAGTCTTGGGTGTCTGGTACTGAGTCTTGGGTGTCTGGTGTTGAGACTTGGGTGTCTGGTGCTGAGTCTTGGGTGTCTGGTGCTGAGTCTTGGGTTGTCTGGTGTTGAGACTTGGGTGTCTGGTGCTGAGTCTTGGGTGTCTGGTGTTGAGACTTGGGTGTCTGGTGCTGAGACTTGGGTGTCTGGTGTTGAGTCTTGGGTGTCTGGTACTGAGTCTTGGGTGTCTGGTACTGAGTCTTGGGTGTCTGGTACTGAGTCTTGGGGTGTCTGGTGTTGAGACTTGGGTGTCTGGTGTTGAGTCTTGGGTGTCTGGTACTTGTGGACCACCCGTACAGGGCACGAGTACTTCCTTACATTCCTTTGGCAAGTAAGAAGTAAGATCACAAAATACATGGAATCACAGCATCTCCATAACCCCGGACAACATGGTTTCAGAACAGGGCGCTCTTGCCTGTCGCAGTTGCTGGACCACTATGATATGGCATTAGATGCTATGGAAGACCAACATAACGCGGATGTAATTTACACAGATTTCGCAAAAGCTTTTGATAAATGTGACCATGGTGTTATTGCACATAAAATGCGTTCAAAAGGAATTACCGGGAAAATAGGCAGATGGATCTACAATTTCCTGAGCAACAGAACCCAATGTGTAATAGTCAACAAAATAAAATCCAGCCCATCAACCGTGAAGAGCTCAGTCCCCCAGGGTACTGTGCTTGCTCCAGTACTTTTTCTCATCCTCATATCGGACATAGACCAGAACACAACCTATAGCACTGTATCATCCTTTGCAGATGACACTAGGATTTTCATGAGAGTTGGCAACATAGAGGACACGGCAAACCTCCAATCAGATGTAGATCAGGTCTTTCTATGGGCTACAGAAAATAATATGGTGTTTAACGAGGATAAGTTCCAGCTCATGCGCTACGGAAAAATTGAAAATATAAAAACAGAAACCACGTACAAAACTCAGGCAAATCATAACATAGAACGAAAAGGCAATGTAAGGATCTGGGTGTACTCATGTCGGAAGACCTTACCTTTAAAGAACACAATAAAGTAGCCGTCACAACTGCAAGAAAAATGACAGGTTGGATAACAAGAACTTTTCACACTAGAGATGCTATACCGATGATGATACTTTTCAAAACGCTTGTGCTCTCATAGAGTGGAGTACTGCTGCACAATGACAGCCCCTTTCAAAGCTGGAGAAATTGCTGACCTAGAGAGCGTGCAGAGATCCTTTACTGCTAGAATCCACTCAGTAAAACATCTAAATTACTGGGACCGACTAAAGAGCCTAAATCTGTACTCCCTTGAGCGCAGGCGGGAGAGATACATAATAATTTACACGTGGAAAATAATTGAGGGGCTGGTCCCAAACCTGCACACAGAAATAACACCACATGAGACCAGAAGACATGGCAGGATGTGCAGAATACCCCCGTTGAAAAGCAGAGGTGCAACAGGTACTCTGAGAGAGAACTATCAACATCAGAGGCCCGAGACTGTTCAACACGCTTCCACTACACATAAGGGGCATAACTGGCAAACCCCTCACAGTGTTCAAGAGAGAACTGGATAAGCACCTCCAAAGGATACCTGATCAACCAGGCTGTGACTCATACGTCAGGCTGCGAGCAGCCGCGTCTAACAGCCTGGTTGATCAGTCCAACAACCAGGAGGCCTGGTCGACGACCGGGCCGCGGGGACACTGAGCCCCGGAAGCACCTCAAGGTAGCCTCAGGTAGGCATATTTGGGTTTCCAGCTTCCACCTGTGTCCTCTTGTCCTATTTTCTCCCAATCTGAAGAGGCTATACTTGATCTATTCCCCTCATTATCTTGTATGTTGTGATCATATCCCTTTTGTTCTTTTTATCCTCTAAAGTTGTGAAATTTAGTTCCATTAGCCCATTCTGTTAGCTCTTCCGCCATTTTTGTTGCAAACCCTTGTACTTTTCAATATGGGTGCTGCATATTCTAGTGTTGGTCTAACGAATGTTATGTAGATTGTCTTGAAGTCCTGATTTTGGTTTCTAAATGGTATTCTTATATTTACCAGTGTAGTTGTGGTTGAGTGTGGTTATGGTGGTGGTGGTGGCTGGGTGTGGTTAGTTTGGTTGTGGTTGAGTGGACCTTACCTTACCATGTGGCTACCTAGCGACGGCCCCGTCCTCGCGTCATCGTGGTGGCGGCTGCGGCTGCTGCTCCTGCTGACTGCGTCAAGCAGTCAGTTACGGGGACCTTAACAGGTCTTCAGCGCCAACTTACTGTATGACTAAATGTTTTGGTCGTTTTACCATTTTTGTACGGCGAGTATCATGGAAGGCAGGTGTGTGAAGGCAGGTGTGTGAAGGCAGGTGTGTGAAGGCAGGTGTGTGAAGGCAGGTAGAGGAGGAGCGGCCCAAGACGCCTCGTCTGTAAACTCCAAAATGGAACAGAGGCGACAACCGCTGACCCAACCGAGCCGCTGGTCCCCTCCCCCCCCCCCCTTCCACTTCATCTAAACCTCCTTCCTTCCTCCCTCCCCTTCCATCCCACTATCCCATCCCTCCTCCCTTTCCTCCTCGCCCTTACTGGTCCAGGAGGAACCATCCGAGGGCCCCTTAAGTGCTTCCTCAGTGGAGCCAGGTCGAACCCCGGCCACAGCTGCACAAAGGCTTAAACAAACATACACCGGGTAATTACTCCAACCTGCAATTACCCCTGTCTACACCTCGTTCATCAAGAGCGCCCCAGTAGCGAGTCGCAGGCCACTCTCGTCCCTGTGGGCGGCGGGCGGAGGGGCGAGAGTGTGGGTGCGCGAGGGGTGGCGGTGATGCATCTATCGGTCCGCGGGTCCGTGAATTAAGAACAGGGGAAACGGGCCTTTGGAGTGTCCGTAACCGCCCGGCATCCCCGCTTCATTATTTATGATGACCATAATGCTAAAGGGGATACCTTGTTATTACACAGTTTCGGTTAAGAGGCGAACCAGATAGAGACGAGTCGAGGAGTTAGTTGTGGGGGCCCGTGTGTGTGTGTGTGTGTGTGTGTGTGTGTGTGTGTGTGTGTGTGTGTGTGTGTGTGTGTGTGTGTGTGTGTGCTCACCTATTTGTACTCACCTATTTGTGCTTGCGGGGGTTGAGCTTTGGCTCTTTGGTCCCGCCTCTCAACTGTCAATCAACTGGTGTACAGATTCCTGAGCCTACTGGGCTCTATCATATCTACATTTAAAACTGTGTATGGAGTCAGCCTCCACCACATCACTGCCTAATGCATTCCATCCGTTAACTACTCTGACACTGAAAAAGTTCCTTCTAACGTCTCTGTGGCTCATGTGAGTACTCAGTTTCCACCTGTGTCCCCTTGTTCGCGTCCCACCAGTGTTGAATAGTTTATCCTTGTTTACCCGGTCGATTCCTCTGAGGATTTTGTAGGTTGTGATCATGTCTCCCCTTACTCTTCTGTCTTCCAGTGTCGTAAGGTGCATTTCCCGCAGCCTTTCCTCGTAACTCATGCCTCTAAGTTCTGGGACTAGTCTAGTGGCATACCTTTGGACTTTTTCCAGCTTCGTCTTGTGCTTGACAAGGTACGGGCTCCATGCTGGGGCCGCATACTCCAGGATTGGTCTTACATATGTGGTGTACAAGATTCTGAATGATTCCTTACACAGGTTCCTGAACGCTGTTCTGATGTTAGCCAGCCTCGCATATGCCGCAGACGTTATTCTTTTTATGTGGGCTTCAGGAGACTGGTTTGGTGTGATATCAACTCCTAGATCTTTCTCTCTGTTCGTTTCATTAAGTACTTCATCTCCTATTCTGTATCCTGTGTTTGGCCTCCTATTTCCACCACCTAGTTTCATTACTTTGCATTTACTCGGGTTGAACTTCAACAGCCATTTGTTGGACCATTCACTCAGTCTGTCTAGGTCGTCTTGTAGCCTCCTACTATCGTCCTCAGTTTCAATCCTCCTCATAATTTTTGCATCATCGGCAAACATTGAGAGAAACGATTCTATACCCTCTGGAAGATCATTTACATATATCAGAAACAGTATAGGTCCAAGGACTGACCCCTGCGGTACTCCACTCGTAACGTCTCGCCAGTCTGAGACCTCACCCCCTCACACTGACTCGTTGTCTCCTGTTACTTAGGTACTCCTGTATCCAACGGAGTACCTTCCCTTTCACTCCAGCCTGCATCTCCAGTTTTTCACTAGCCTCTTGTGTGGCTCTGTGTCAAAGGCTTTCTGACAATCCAAAAATATGCAGTCTGCCCACCCTTCTCTTTCTTGCCTTATTTTTGTTGCCTGGTCGTAGAATTCAAGTAACCCTGTGAGGCAGGACCTGCCATCCCTGAATCCATGTTGATGCTGTGTTACAAAGTTCTTTCGCTCCAGATGTTCCACTAGTTTTCTTCGCACAATCTTCTCCATTAACTTGCATGGTATGCAGGTTAGGGACACTGGTCTGTAATTCAGTGCCTCCTGTCTATCCCCTTTCTTGTATATCGGGACTACGTTAGCTGCTTTCCAAATTTCTGGCAGTTCCCCTGTTGCCAGTGATTTGTTATACACCATGGAGAGCGGGAGGCACAGTTCTTCTGCTCCTTCCTTTAGTATCCAAGGGGAGATTCCATCTGGACCTATAGCCTTTGTCACATCCAATTCCAGTAAACACTTCCTTACTTCCCCGCTGGTAATCTCAAACTCTTCCAGTGGTTCCTGGTTAGCTATTCCCTCTCTTTATCTCTGGGATTTCTCCTTGCTCTAAGGTGAAGACCTCCTGGAATTTCTTATTCAGTTCCTCACACACTTCCTTGTCGTTTGTAGTGAATCCATCTGCGTGTGTGTGTGTGTGTGTGTGTGTGTGTGTGTGTGTGTGTGTGTGTGTGTGTGTGTGTGTGTGTGTGTGTGTGCGCGCGCGTGTGTGCGCGTGTGCGCGTGCGTGTGCGTGTGCGTATGTGTATGTGTGTGTGTGTGCGTGTGTGTGTGTGTGTGTGTGTGTGTGTGTATGTGTGTACTCACCTATTTGTGCTTGCGGAGGTTGAGCTTTGGCTCTTTGGTCCCGCCTCTCAACCGTCAATCAACTGGTGTACAGATTCCTGAGCCTATTGGGCTCTATCATATCTACATTTGAAAATGTGTATGGAGTCAGCCTCCACCACATCACTGCCTAATGCATTCCATCCGTTAACTACTCTGACTCTGAAAAAGTTCCTTCTAACGTCTCTGTGGCTCATGTGGGTACTCAGTTTCCACCTGTATCCCCTTGTTCGCGTCCCTCCAGTGTTGAATAGTTTATCCTTGTTTACCCGGTCCATTCATCTGAGGATTTTATAGGTTGTGATCATGTCTCCCCTTACTC